ATTTGAATTTTGAAATTCATCCGAAATTTGAATTTTGAAATTCATTCGAAATTTGAACCCAAAAATTTATCTGAAATTTGAATTTTGAAATTCATCCGAAATTTGAACCCAAAAATCTTATCCCGAAATTTTATCCAATTATGAATAGTCTTGACACGTAGAAACCCGTAAATCTTATCCGAAAATATTATCCAAATTAATTATTGAGGTAAAAAAAGCTGTGAATAAAACAAAAAAATGAATAGTAACTGCCCTTAGTAAGGGCAACGGGTGGAAACACAAAATTCTGATTTGCAAGGGCAACCACTATTCACGTGAATAGTAGCTAGCTGCCTTATCTCCCCCCCTTGCCATGGCTAAAGGCAAATGGGTGGAGTTGCTCTTAGGGAAGCGAAAAAGATACTCGGTATGGAAATTACTCGTGAACAAGGACAAAGGCTTGGTGTACCTGACACATAAACAATATTTGAGTAAATTGTTGCAACGCTTTGCCATTACAAGTTAATTGCTTTGTTATCTCCAAAAGCTGATGAAGAGAAGTTACATATGAAGAATGTTCCATATTCTATTCTGGTTGGCGGCTTAATGAACGCTATGGTGTGTTCTCGCCTAGATAGTGCACATGTTGTTGGTTTGGTAAGTCGTTATATGCACAATCCTGGCAAAGAACATTGGCAAGCTGCTAAATGGATACTGAGATATCTCCATGAGACTAGAGATGTCGGTTTATGTTTTGAAAGAGATAATGTTGGCATTGATAATTTTGTAGTTGGATATGTTGATTCTGACTATGCAGGAGATTTGGATAAAAGAAGGTCTACTACTGGTTACTTATTCACTATGGCTAAATGACCTGTTAGTTGGAGATCTACATTACAATCTACAGTGGCATTGTCTACAACTGAGGCCAAATATATGGTTGTTGCAGTAGCTGTAAAGGAGGCCATTGGACACATGGTTTGATAAATAATTTAGGAATTTATCATAAACAGGTGGAGCTACATTGTGATAGTCAAAGTGCTATTCACTTGTCCTTCAATGGTGGAAATCTTCTTCTACTTCTTGCTTGCCTGCACCTTGTCTTCCTCCTTGAGCTCTCTAGCTCCAAAATCTCTATATAAAAAAAGGAATTGTTTTCAATCAATGGCTGATGCCTTTCTCTTTGCTCCTTCCCTTCTTGCTTTCCAGCTCACTCTTATTAAACTCCACATTTTGCTATAGCCTTTAGCCTTTGTCTCCTTGCCATGATGGGGTTTTTATTCTTGTCTTCACAAAGATGCTCTTTGTCTCAGAAATTTGCACTCCATCAAAGTAAGTTCTTGTTACCAAATGGTATGGTAACAAGAATAATCAAGATGACATCATGGAGGTAAAAACTGGTCCAAGACAAATCTCTAGAGCTATGGTAAAATACTGGATCAGTTGGATAGGCTATACTTGTTCAATGGAGCTCAAATTCGGATATGTTGTAGTCAACAACCATTGGAACAAGTTTCATGAAGATCTTCACCTTATCCGAGCACCGAAGCATGCTGCTCCAAGGCCAAGAAGTTGACCTACGAAAATAAACAAAAACAGAATTTATAATCAATAAAGCATTTTTAGCTCATTTTCATTCTAACCAAGGTAAAATCTATGAAATACAAAAAGGAAGTAAAAAGCTATAAAATGTCAAGAACTAACTCAAAATATTGGGTGAATAACATGATAAATCATGTGTAAACCCAACAATTCTCACAAGTGGCATCCCTTCATTCTTAGGCAACCTAGCCTCAAATTGTTGGACCTTTCACAAAACAAGCTCTCCGGAGAGATTCCCCAGCACCTGACACAACTGACATTCAGAATTCAGTGTCTCCCACAACAATCTCACAGGTCCTATACCACATGGAACCCAACTAACTTTGTTCAATAGCTCTTCATACGAAGGAAACCCCGGCTTGTGTGGGGATCCACTGCCTAAGAAATGTGGAAATGCTGAGACCCCTCAACTGCCAGTTTCAAGCAGAGAAGAAAACGATTCGGGCTCTAGAATTGGATTTGATTGGAAATTTGTTTTGGCGGGGATCGGGAGTGGGTTGGTTGTGGGAGTGGTTCTTGCGGACATTGTGATCACAAGGAGGCAGGAGTTGTTTATTGAGACTGTAGGAATGAACAGATCAATGATAAGAAAAAGGTAGAGTGATGCATAAATTCATCAGTTTTTTATAAGGTTATGCATTTGATGTTATATTTTGCTTGTTTTTATGTTGCATGTATTCCTTATCATGTGTATGTGTGATGGTTTATGGTACGACACGACCCTTCGCATCGCACACATCGTTGAATAAAATAAATTTGTTAAAAAGAAAACTGCATGTATGTATGCAAATACAAGCAAACACAAATACTTCATGGCAATTGCCTTTTGTGTCCTTATTGGTCCGAGTGTTTTTTTTTTTTTTTTTGGGTGAACTAGGGGGGAAAACCCCAAATAGACAAAATTAACTAACCAACACAAATCATCCACCAAAGAAGTCCCAGCCCAACTTGGAGCCTCATCAAAAATGCAGATACCAAGATCTAAATTATAACTCCAAGCAGCCAGTCAATCTGCAACATTGTGTTTCTCCCTAAAAATATGATGGAGGCTGCAATTCTCAAATTGCTACATTAACTGCCAACAACTAGAGACCAACCATGCAAGAGGGTGCAAAGTAAGAGAATCATGCTGCTGAACAAGCTGGATAGCAACAGCCGAATCCATCTCAACGATAAGATTATTAAACCCTTAGCAACAGCCATCCTCAAACCAAAAAACAAGCCCCATAACTCAGCCTCCAGAATCTGCTCTTTTCCCAGATTAACTGCAAACCCACTATACCAATCACCAGAAACATCATGCAACACACCTCAGCACCAATATGGCCAGAAGCAACTTTCCTAGAGCCATCAACATTTAGTTTAAAGAACCTAGCAGTAGGAGGTTCCCAAGCAACCAAGCCTCAACCTTAGCGCACTTGATAGAAGAAACATTAGAAGCTTTGAACCATTCCTTCACAGCAGCAGTAATAATCTGTATGGAATCAAAAGCCAACTCTTCATCACCATGAAACACATAATAATTCCTCTATTTCCATATGTACCAACATGTGAAAACAAAGACCAAATTCCAAGGAATACCATCAGCCCAAATAATTTTCGACATCGCATTTACTCTAAGCCAAGGCTGAAAAGCCATAGTAAAAAAAACCAGCACTTTGACTAGAATTGAGAAGAGCATTTCACACCTTCTTAGCCTTAACACAATCACGAAGAATATGAAGTATAGACTACATAGGCCAATGGCACAAACCACAAGAAGCATCCAAAGATAGCTGTCTTCTAGCTCTTTGCTCATTAGAAAGAATTTTCCCTTGAAAAACAAGCCAAAAGAAAATATGCAACTTGGGAGGAATCTTAAGCTTCCACAAAAACTTCCAAGCAAAATCATAGTAAGTAGAGCTCTCAAAAACCATATTATAAGCAGATTTTACAAAGAAATCCCATTGGAGGAAAACTTCCAAATTTGAGCATCCTGAATCCCACTATTAATTGGTCCGAGTTTTTTGATTTCTTGATGCATAGCAAAGATCAAATCAAAGACCAAAGATCAAGTATATGTAAATTTCAAACCATGGTTGGTTGTTCCCCATCCCCATCTTGTGGCTCGACAATTTGAATCCAATCTGTAAATTCTAATTCTAGTTCTCTCACAGTTCACTTCCATGCATGTTCGCAACAAATTAAGTTGTCTATAAATTATAACACCTCTATGTTACATGTTGGATTCTACACCCTTATATCCTTAGTTATATGATGAAATAAGAGAGTTGTTGTTGGCCCTCTAAAATAGTTATCATATAGTCATTTGTTACATATTTCTTTTTATTTATAAAGAAGGGTATATGATCACTAGTATGAAGTGCAAACAATTAACTATTCTTTTCAACTAAAAAGTATTGTCACGAAATTTGACCATTGATCTATTGTAGACCTTACATGCATCAATTGTCAGAAAACTAACCTCAGAATGCCTCTTCATAAAAGTACTTAAATTAAATCTGACGGTTTAAATGGAGAAGGCTAGGCGCAAGTAATTATATTGTGGTATTAAAGTATGGTTGCAAGGTATAATTTGTCGAGATACCCTAAAAGTGGGAAATTTTAACATAACCATCCACTTATATTATAACACGTGGACGAGTTATACCACATGACAGTAGGCTAACACAAGAGTGCCCACTCTTGACGGCACTACGGAACAAACCGAGAGGTCAAGTGGGCTGTAAAAACTGGGTTTACAAATTTCCAGTCCGTCTGGTGTGTGGTCCGGAATTTCGGCCAAACTTCTGCATTTCTTAAATTTTGGCCCGCGCAAATCCCAGTTTTGGGCTGAAAACCCAATTTTGGAGTTTGCCTGCTGGAGGATGGCCCAACCGAGCAGCAATCTTGTTCAGTGAACAAACGAAAAAAAAAAGAAAAAAGAATCGTTGGGTTCAAACAGAATCAGTCTATGCAGCTTTTATTGGGGTGGTGGTTCCTTAGAGATCCTCTCTCTCTCTCTCTCTCTCTCTCTCCCCGAAAAACCGCTTTCCAATTCCCTCACTCCAAAACCCATCTCTTATCTCCCAAAATCAGACCCACCGAAAACCTAACTTTCCACTGTTGAACTTTTCACCATCTTCTATCCATTTTTTATTTTAATTTTTTGTCCGTTATTGCGGATCCTACCGTGCTCTAGCGATGGACATTGAGCAAAAGCAAGAAGAGATCATCGATCATTTCGTGAAGCAAGCCTCGTCTCTCGAAGGCTCTGCCCTCGGCTCCCTCGTCGTCGAAGCCACCTCGCATCCTTCTCTCTTCGCCTTCTCCGAGATTCTCGCCGTTCCTAATGTTCTTCAGGTTTCTTTTCTTTTTCTTTCCTTCTCTCTTTTGTTGTAAATTTTCCTTTTCTGCTCTGTGGTGGTAGAAACTAAGAATGAATGGAGAATTTGAATGTTAAGTTAGGAAATAGGAGATGATGTCCTCACTGCTACAACTGGTTTTTTTTTTTCCCCAATTAATGATGGCCAATGGATGTGGTGGAATATGATGTCGTAAATTTTTAATTTTTAATTATTTGGGATGTTGTGCTTAGCTAAACAGAAATGTTATTCTTGTTTTGGTTGTGAGAAGGGTTCTGTTGTTTTAGGAGTTAGGTCATTGTTTATGAACAAAAAATGTCTAAATCAGAATTTTCGTGTAGCCAAAGAGAAATTTAAATTGTTTATTATTGTTTTTGGGTTTTCATGCTACGAATGTCATTGTAGGAATACTTCTTTTGACTCTGTAATATTTGCAGCTTGAAGGAACAGAAACTTCTGTGAACCTGGATGTGCTTCGCTTGTTTTCACAAGGAACATGGAGTGACTATAAACGTGAGCGTGCAAAACTTGCTTCATCTTTTGGTCCAATTTCTCATTAGTGAATCTCTAGCTGTTGGTTTGATTGCTTTGCCCTTCTTGCACCAACTCGATTAATGTTTCTTTTCTGCTTCAATGTCTGATACAATATCAAACGCCCTAAACTCTAAATGTTAAAAACTTACACCCTGAAGTGTTAAACCCTGTTGCAACAAAAATCAGAAAAGGATAACCCAAAAATTGAGCCGCCATTGGAACGGTCTGTTGGCATGGCGTAGTCTGCACCTGAAGTTCAATATATATGCATGTAGATGTACGTATGTAGCCGAAGAGAGAATTAAATTGTTTATTGTTGTTGGATTTTCCTTTTCCTTCTATTTGTTTTCTTCTTTTTCTTGGTGGGTATTTGTATTTTTAGAGCAAGTTTTCGGGGTCCATGGTGATATTTCAAGTTGCATATATTTGAACGTTAAATGGTTTTATTATTCAAAACATATGCAGCATCTATAACTACCAAGTGCAGAGAAAAATAAAAAAAAATTAAAAAATACAAAAGAAACTAAAGAACTTTATCTTCATTATCATCAATTTTTTATATGAAAAACTACTACTGTTTCTTTTAATGTCCCTGGAGTTTGGCGGAAATGATACCACTCCATAACATTTAATCGTTTTCATTTCCACTACAATAATTTCCAAAATTTTGGAGGATATAATATCTTAAAAAATCATCTGTTAACTGTTGACCATTTTAAAAGGGAACACAGCTATAATTTTATGCACCATTGCCTCTGTCATCAACTCCGTAACATTATTAAATCCATGGTTCTCTTTTCTTATGTTTTTTTTTTCCTTATGGTTAATTTTTTTATTTTAGAGAACTACTTCCCTGTAATTTCTCTGAGTTTTTGTGAAAAAAAATTATGTAAGCTTCTCTATGGCTTATTGTGATGGAATTTAAGAAACTGAAACATAGTTCAATTGTAGGTGATGCCAGTCGTCTTCCCCAATTGGTCCCTGATCAAGTCCTAAAGCTGAAGCAGCTCACTGTTCTTACACTAGCTGAGACAAACAAGGCATGATTCAAATGCATTATCCTCTTATTTTTCAAAAGTTGTTGGTGATTTACATCTCTGAATGTGTAGTAATGGTTAAGGCTATATGGTTTCAACGTGATTATGTGGAGTGTGTCACTTCTGGTACTTTATGTTCTCCATGCTTAACAAATGTCATCCTAAATAAAAAATGAAAGGATATAATGAAAAATGCATCACTTTTGGACAAGTCCTTTGGACATAAATTTGTCTTAATTGCACTTGGAGCAAATTGACTGCAGTTACCAATACCGCCACTGCTTAAAATTGAATTCTTATTGTAATAGATTATGGTGCCTGTTAAAATTCTGGAAACTCAGATTTGAAAAGTTAATTGAAACGGAATGCCAGAAGCTTATTTGGTCTAAATCCTGAAAAATAGCAGTGTTACCTATCTTAGTCATCTGATGCCTGACTCTAGTAATTGATCAGATCATGAGATAAAGGCCTTATGATGGAGAAATTCTTCTATAACTTTTAGTATGTAAGGTAGCACTACATTAGACAGTGAAATTTTTCCCATTCCTGTTATTGTTATAAATCAAATACTGATGCATCAAGCATGTTTTTTTTTTCCTCATTCAGCTACACTCGGGGATTTTCTGTGTCACTATTGCGTATTCAATTTTCTTAAGTATTCTTGATAGCCTTTGCAGGTACTACCATATGATCAACTAATGCAGGAGTTAGATGTTATAAATGTACGTGAGCTCGAGGATTTTCTCATTAATGAGTGCATGTATGCGGTAATTCTTCTTTCATCCTGCGACCTCTTTTTTTTTTCCCATACTATATTGAAACATGGACAAAGCGTCTCTAGTGAAGGATGTGGAATGAATAATCATAACTTTTAACGAATTATCATTCAAATACAGTCCAAGTGAAAGAATTGAAATCAAATGTGTTGGAGAAACACTATTCTCCCTTGTCTTTCTGCCAATCTGTCTTGGTGTGTGCATATGGGCGGAATTGAAATAAAATGTGTTCTCGCTTGTGTAAGAATATTCTTTTGAATATTGGACAGCAATTTCTGAAAGTTGTTAATGTTAGTTTTGGTCGATGAAGCACGGATATTCCAAATATTGCAGGTGCAGAGTATCCGATATAGATATGGCCCTGATGCCCCCCAATACACCTTGACACTTGTCGGATACAGATTTGGAGTATTCCATTGACATTTTTGTAAGTTTGTCCTTTGGATATAGTGCGACATGCGTTGTCTACATACGCATCTGGGTGCAAGAGGTGTTCTTTTGTGATTTTTTCTCCTAAAAAAAGGGGGGTGTCAGGTTTTTTAAAAAAATTTCAAATTATTTAAAAAACTGATGGTCTGAATATTACTTTAAAGGGTTAAGGGTTAAATGAGAAATAAACAGCAGCTTCTTTAATGATTGTTCTGCGACAGAGTTGATTTTCTAGCTAGTAGCTATTTGTAACAAATTAATGAGCAATCACGCATGAATGATGGAATGGAATCAATGGATATAACTTTTCCTTTTGTCTATTTTAATATAGTATCTTTTAAATTATGAACTAGGTTCCTACTTTCTTGGTTGTGTAGATAACCTTTTTAAGATATATATGTAATGTTATATATACTATTTTGTTATGGAGGACGTGTGTGGTGATTTTTAGGTTTGTTTTCTTTTAGGGCATAGTAAGAGGAAAGCTTGACCAGCTGCGGAAGTGCTTTGAGGTTTGAGCTTTATTGCTGCCTTTGCTTTAAATTATTGGAATTTTGTTCTCCTTGTTTTCGCTTTCCTCTTTCTTCTCTTTGGTTTCTGCTCATTCCCTTTAGGTATTCCATCTTGTGAAAAGCAGGTCCAGTTTGCTGCAGGGAGAGACCCCAGACCTGGACAACTTGGGAGTATGATACACACACTGTCAAACTGGTAACATCTCTGATTTTGATGGCATTGGTGTAGTTTCTCTACCTCTCTTGGCATGTGCATTATGATCTCAAAACATTAATGTTTTTCCCTGATTGCGTGAAAGTTTCATGACTGTGAGGTGTAAGTCTCATGCCATGGAGCATCATTTACCAATTTGCTAACAATTTTTCCAATGAAGATTCAGAAAAAAAAACCAAAAAACTGAAAAACATGGTCCCATGTCTAATGAAGTAATGTGTTCTGATTTTTTGCTGCTGAGTTTATGATTTATGAAGTTTCTTCTCTAGATAAAAAAACTAATAGAATTGTCTAAATTTTCTGTGAATGAAAACGTAGGTTGGATACCTCAAACAATCTTCTTATCTCGATTCAAGAGAAGATGAAGTGGGCTGATACTATGACTGAATTGGCCAAGGAACACAAAAAAGAAGTCGAAGATAGGGTGGAAGAAGTAAAGAAGTCCTCTTCCCACAAGGTCAGTTTAATCCAGTTTTATTTTTTGTATTGCTTCTCCAAATAATCCTTTCCTAATCAAGTGGACAAGTTGCATTTGATGATTTGGACATGCCATAGTAAAGAATACTTTATGATTTTTATTTTATTGATATATTTCTCTACACCAAATGTGCACATCAAGGCTTTTGTGATGATCTACTCTGAAGCTAAATAATCACTAGATAAACGAGTACTTTGTTCTCACCCCACACACAGTACCTCCCAATGTGTTTATTAGAGTCTTTTGTTTAGTTATTGGTTATATTGGTCGATGTGTCTTACTTACGTTGTGGCAGAAGTTCCACACTGTAACCAGGCCGACATTGACTTCCGGGGGCACGAGGAGATTTACTCCGAACCTGGTGGAGTGATGGACTATGAGGAAGACCGAAGTAGACCAAAGAGGTAATGCATATACCTCACTTTCTTAATTATGATTCTCTCTCTCTCTTCCTCACGTCCTTGGGGTAGGTGGTCTAACCACGTTCCACACAATAAAATATTTATGAGCCTCTATTGCAAAACCTATCACGTGCTTTATTGGAATATTTGGTTTGGATCGTCAATATGATTTGCCTTTACTCTACTTTTTGACTTGGAAATGCAGGAGACGGCATCCGATATATAGATGAGAGTTAAGAGGTGGAAAGGATGAGTGTGTTTAGGCGAGTTTGAGTAGGCTTGATTTTTGTTCATGGCTTTCCCAGATGTGTTGATTTTTCCTTTTTTGAGACCATAACCTCTCCGATGTTAAACCTTTTTCTTTGTTGTTTTAGGCTCATATTTCATATGTTATTTAGCTTGTCTTCAACCCATTGTTATTCCAATTGAGTTTACAAGAATGAAACCACATTTATTGGTGCGGCTAACATTGTTCATGGATTCAGATACACAATTGTTCTTGTTTCTCAGTGTGTCTTGAGTTCAGTGGTTCTTGTATTGGTAAAAATTGGGGTTGAATGGTTCAACTTCCCAGTAATGATTTTGAGTGCCCTTTTAAGTGGCTTTGTTTATGGGTGCTCTTGTTTCTTTGTTGTTAGATCGGATAAGGATGGTTGAGATACACAATGGAAATCTGGTTGATTCAATACTTATTTTATATTTTTTCATTTATTCAATCTCAAGTAAGAATATGCTAGTTATTATAGGCAAAGTGCAGCACAAGAATGAATGTTCTTATATGTACGAGTTAGGACAGTTGCATGCACCCAGTCCAGATGTAACTTCCTTGTAAAAGCATTCACAAGTGCTTAACATGCAAGCTTCTAAGTTTAATTTAACCTATTGATAAAAGAAAAAAGCTTTATTTCACCCAAGTAGACATTTTGAATTGAATATTTCCATTTCTTTTCTTTGCATAGACACCAACCATTAACATTATATGGTGTAGCAACAAGAGTACCAAGTACTTTGATACAATTTTCCATTACTAGATAGTGAACGATACTCCATCTGTTTTGTAGAATCATGTGTACTTATCAAGCCAACAGGATGCGCGTGTCAAACGTAGCCATTTTGCAAGACCACCAAGGTGACTCCGTGTTGAAGAGGCTCCGAGGAAGCCACCACCCCCACCTAGGTGTACCACAATTGTCCCCACAAGGTTACATATGTTATGCCACTCATTGGGGAGATAATTGGTTAGACAAATTCTGGATCGAGATACTCTAACCAGGGCTGGGCGTTACTCTTTGTCAATGTCTTTTCTTTCATTTATATAACCGTTGAATATGACTTGACAATGACAACAAAATTAATTTGGGGCCCTGTCTTGTGCCAGGACTCAGAGCGATCGCACTTCCTACCTTGGCTCAGGGCCGGCCCTAACTATAACAACGTTTCATATAGTACTAGAAAGGTTTATGTGAGGACGTGTAAGAAGAGGATTCTCTAGAGTTTACCAAATGCCAAACGGCTTTCCTTTATAGCTGATTTCTCTTGCAACATATCTAAAAGAGATTATTTTCACAGCACAATAATGTCAAATTAGCCCTAAATTAAGTGCCTCGGTAAATTAATTTGTTGTGTATTGGCCGACATAATATAACACCTAGATCGTTGGAAATATAGAATTGAGTAAAATTTGAAGAAGGAAATACACCATGTGTACACGGTACACCATATATTTTAAATATTAAAAGACAGATAATAGCAGTTGGTCATTGTACGTATATGTATTATTAACATACTATCATAAGTTGACCCAAAAAAAATATATACTATCGTACGTACAAGAAGGAAAAAAAAAAACTTCGTTTGTTTAAACATTGCACATGCATTTTATAATATAATAACAATTATGAAATAAAAATGAATAAACAAAAGTGAAAATGCCCAGTTCTGGACTTCGAAAACGGAAAGTTGAAACAAGGTGGCATCTGGCTCAGTGTACATTTGAAATGGCTTTGACCAGAGGCCCCGTGAGCAAAACCTTATTTAATTTTGGAAATAGTAATATTTATGGAAAGTAAAAATCTACTGCGAGCTACTTAATCGAATCCCTCTTTCTACTTAAAGCAAAATTCTAAGACAACTATAAATGGCAACAACAACAAAAGTACTATTCCTTAGAGAAAATCTGAGAAAAATTAAGTTTGGTACATTCTTATTGGCATTCTTTGACTTGTAATCTAATCCTTAGTGTAATAAATTCGATCCGTAATTTAATAAATCCGAGGTTCCCTTGTATATCTTAAGATTTAATAATAAAACTTTATAAAATATAAGATAGTTTTTGGATCAGTAAAATTGCAAATTATGTTTTTAATTTCATTGACAAGCAAGTGGGTCAACTCCTTATAAATCTAGGTGACACGTAGTATATGTGTTGTTATTAGGTTTCACGCATAGATAAATTAATTGATAATTGGAGGGGAGATCTAACTCTTTATGAGCTCTTAATACAACCATTGGGTTTAAACTTTCCAACATGGATTCACATCCTCACAATCGTAACCCTGCAATATTTTTTTTGCTATGAAGTATGCAATAACAAAGAAAAAGACAAAGAACAAAGAATCTAGATCCACGATATAAGCCAAAAAGAGAAATAAGAAAATCGATCACCCATCTCAAGTACAACAAGATTCCAGGGTTTAGAATTAAATACATGATAATAATTCATGCCCATGTGTGTAACGTACCTGGAATCCAACATACCATGCTCTCAAAATCTAACTAGACTGCATAGATTCGATTAATTTAGTTCATTTTAAACTAATATAGTGCTAATTATCAGATAATTTCTGCACGTGACTAAAAAGACACATGGATTCCATTAATTATTTCACGCACTGCCATGAAACTTGAAGCTTCATTGAAGCTGCCTCCGATACCATATGAGCTCATATAAAGCTAGCTTTTGGGTGTGACGAACATGTGCCAACGTTCGATCGATCATAAGAAACTCAGAGCTTCGACCCACTCAATCGATCATAAGTACGTGTATAGTTCAGGAACATGTACGGAGAGACAACCTTAGAACTAGAATCTAACTTGGCTCTTCTTGAGTCCATTCGCCACCATCTTCTTGATGATTTGGAGCCTCAGGCAACGAGTTTTAGCGGCAATAATGTCTCGACTTTCCCATTTTTCGTGACAGAGAATTGGTGGGAATCATCTCTTGAAGCCGAACATGTGCACAACACCATGCAGGACAAGCTTGAAGTTTTGCGTGATGTAAATTACGTTGGATGTGTTGTGTCCAACGACGAGGTTCAATTGAAGGAACAAGTGGCGGAGGGTGCTGTTCACGCTCCAAGGGGGGAGAGGCATTATAGAGGCGTGAGGAGGAGGCCGTGGGGTAAGTTCGCAGCGGAGATAAGGGATCCGGCAAAGAATGGTGCGAGAGTGTGGCTTGGAACTTATGAGACCCCAGAGGACGCGGGGCTGGCTTATGATCGAGCTGCATTTAAGATTCGCGGTTGTAAAGCCAAGCTGAATTTTCCTCACTTGATTGGCTCGAGTAACGTGGAGCCCGTTCGGGTGACCCCTAAGAGGCGCCGCTCGCCTGACCAATGCTCCTCGTCGTCCTCGTCTGCATACACATCCGATAATGGGTCTTCCAAGCCAAAGCGAAGAGAGGCCGGGGTTGATAATCACTTGGCAGCTTGAGATATAAATTAATATGAGTTATGAAAATGCTTGTATAATTAAGTAGCTGAGAAATGGTTCCTATTGCTAGAGTTGCATTTCTCTTTTCCTTATTTTTACAAGGAAGAAATGTAGGCCTCACTCTAATCTTGAGTAGGGGAGCATGTTCATCCTCGTTTCTTGTTGATGAAATAATATTTAAGAAGTCATGAAAACAGAGTTCGACTAGTTAACCTAAATGGCCCACTTCGGTTGTGTTATTGGGCTAATTTTTAAATTCTTTTGGGTTTCATTCAGAAAGTATTTTACTTGAGTTCATAAACCCAAGTAATTAAACTACTCTCATAAAAAAGAATAGGAAGAAAGAAAAAGAAACTAGAGTTATAATTTTGAAAGAAACAAACTACAATTGCAATTGAGTTTAATTCAATTCATTAAGCTCTATCCCAAAAAATAATCACAAGTGACTCTCGGTATACGAAGAACTTTCCTCTACCACAGGTCCATTTGGTTTACGGAAAGAATTTGATGGAAAATTATTTCCCATGTCATTTTTCAAAGAATGAAAAATGGAAGATTTCCCATCCCCAAGTCATGTTTTCCATGAATGTAACGCACTAAGGCCAATGTGTTTACATATACAATCCAGTAAATCACTGAGCATCATATTTGTTTTCCAATTTCTTCACTCAGTGGCTTATTTGGTTAAATACGTATTTATCAAATATAAACTAGTGTTGCTTTTTTTCCTAGTGTGAATGTCTTTTAGAACTTTTCCATGCTTCTTGAAGGCATATTATAGTCAAAATACGATTCACACAGGTTGATTTGCAGGTTTTTATTTCAAATATTGAAACGTGTGTTCATATCTTCTATGTTACATGTGTTCATATTTCAAATATTGAAATATGATCCTTTAGGAAGACAATACAAATCAAAGAGCCAAGTTCTCGAATTCTGTAGAGATCAACAACGCTACGAAAGATGAGAGGACATATGCACATTGATAAAAGATAAATATTGGGCTAGTTTGACGATCTTTCCCTTTTGAAAAGATGCTCTGCTAATTCTCCAACCCTAATACACTATGCAAGATTGTGAATTTTGTTTCGGAAAAATTACTTTTATTATGTCCAACTACACAACAACAACAACAACAACAACAACAACAACAACAACAAAGAACTACAAAAAAAACCAAAATGAATAATCCAAGTACTCAGATGGCCAAAAGTTCGTCATATGTGTACAACTCGTCGACAAACAGCTGGCCGCCGAGTGTTAATGAGTCCACTTGAAACACGTGAAACTGTTCAGCTGCTTCTTCCAACTTGGCTTTAGCCGCCGAGTCAACTCCACTCTTTCTCTTCTTTAGCGTCGGGGATCCGCCATCATCCGACGACGTAGCTGACGAAAAGGATGGCTCCGGCGAGCCACGCTTGGGAGCCACACGACCGGGCTCCGAATCATGTGAACCAATGAGGTGAGGAAAATTAAGCTTAGCCTTGGAGCCACGCATTTTATAAGCGGCTCGGTCATAAGCCAAGCTGGCATCCTCAGCCGTCTCATAGGTCCCCAGCCACACTCTCGCCCCGTTCTTCTTTGGGTCCCTAATCTCCGCCGCGTACTTCCCCCACGGCCGCCTCCTCACCCCCCGAAAATGTCGGCCACTTGAGGGCGCGTGGTTTACACGCGCCTCCACCTTGACATCATTTGACCTATCCAAATCATGGTCCAAGATTGCGATTGTGTCACCCCAGCCCTCTCCACCAAAGTGAGCATGGCTAGAGCTTGAAGTACTTGGAGCACAATCATACAATGGTGCATCATCTTCAGCGACACCGGCCAAAAACGTTGCCTGGGTTTCGAAATCGTCATCTAGTAGATGCTGCCGGATTGACTCCAAGAGAGCCCAGTTGGAACTTGTAATGCTTTCCGTTGACATTTTCTGAGTTGTAGTTGTAGATCTGCTTCTTTTTTTCCCTCAAGAGTTTGATTTCTAAATCTGGATTGTTTCTGAAGTTGGGACATATCAGCCTTATCTGGATTTCTATATATACATGGAGATGCGGGGAGAGAGGCCCTGTCGTCTTGCTTGTAAATGATGATTATGTTATTATATTGATGTGGTTGTTTCCATGAAACCTCGCTGGTTTATTTTCCATCACATGTTTTGAATGCTTCAAAGAGTTCAAAGGAGGAATTTGTTAACTCGTTTGTGTTGTCTTCATATTGCTTTTGTTAACTGGTTGATTGAAGAATAAATATAAAAATATTCGAGAGTCCAAAGCATTGTTTAATAATAAAATTTCAGCCCGTTCGTAATCTTTTTGTGTGTGCATGTACAAAAATAACTTATGGTGCTGCATACGACAAAATAAAATAAAATAAAACGAATTAAGTTCATGAATTGGCAAAACATTTGGTGAATATAATTTATGTACTTGCAGTTTTGTGTCGAAATGGATGTGATAGACTTTGCAAATTCGTATGAACGCTCACATAGTAACATCTAAAACCTTCAAAATACAACAAAATGCTCGTACTATTCATTAAATGAAGATAATATCGTAAATTAACTTATTTTTATATTTTAAAAAAAGAACGTAAGTCTTATTTTCATGGGACAGAACTAGACTCATTTTCTCTTTTTTAAATTCTAAAATGATAAAAGTAAAATAAAAAGCCACAAAAAATAAATAAATTAAAATACAAAAGCTAAGTTTTAATAATAAATGAATAAACGACAGAGAAAAGCATGTTCAAAAACCCTAGCTCTCTTTCTCTCAAAAAAAACACCCTACATCCGTTTTCACTTTGAGGGGGGAGGAAGCCATTGTTTGTCCTCCCTTCTCCCCTTCTATCTTCCTCCCTTCTCCTCTTTTCCCCAATTTTTAGAGACAAGGTTTCCCATGTTTGTCTTTGTTTTGTAATCATTTTCCTCCACTTGGATCTCTACCTATGTTTCGGTGTCGAATCTCTACGACCATCCTTTTTGCAGTTTCTCCATGTTTAGAATAAGTCACAGATACTCTTTGGGTTTTGTGTAGTTTTCACCTCTCATTTGTGAGAGTTTTCTACCTCTGCTTTATGAGAGTTTTATTTGTATTGATATGGTTTGGTTTTTTCAATATTTATTTATTTTTTGTTGTTCTGAGTTTGCACTCTTAGTTGGGATGTGCCAGAGTTTCTTCGATCATGTGTGATTGTTGGAGGAGCCCCAGTTTATCTTAATTTTGATGTTGGATCACACCGTTATTGTAATGGTCGTTTATGGCTAGTTTGTATTGGCCATTTGTGACTAGTAGTTTTTTTTTTTTGCTACATTATGAATGCAATCCTAGAATCTCTCAATAAATAAATAAAAATAAAACAAAAAAATAATTAGAAGCGTGTGCCGAAAGACTAGTATATATAAAGTAAAATCAACTTATGAATATATTTTTAAACAATCCTGAAATCTCTCTCGACAATGTTCACACACATGAGCTAGCGCTTGTCATGAAACTAGTTTTCACTAAATAAATAGAAAGATTAAGGGATAGTTTTTCCATGATTTCACATTAGCTAGATTAAAATGGAACATGATCAACAAATCTCGAGATAATTTCACATGAATTCATTTTTATAGACAATTTTTTAAAGAATATCTCAAATCGAGAGTTCTAATAGGCATCATCTCAGATCAAACTGCTAAACAACATGTCCATATATTTATATATCAGGGAAATATATGTATCGCGCACACACGAACATGAAAAAGGTTGCTGCATTCATCTCGCTATATAGCAATTTTCTTTACCAGCAAAGGAGATAAGTGTGGAGAAGGACTTTGTAGTAGGGAGATTGAAATTATGATCCAATGCTAGAATATCTCCCTTTTACACGCTGTTTTTCTTCTTTAAAATTCTCTCCCTTTTACACTGTTTCTTCTTTCGTTGAACTCCAAGTTATTCAACATCAGCAGCGTTTTTTTTCTTCCATCCAAAAGATCTTTGACTTTTTTATTCTTTTTTTATTTCTTTTGCAATAACATAATTATAGCCGATGAGTTCCCACCGGCCGGCACCCAAGATCGGACCCAATAGGATTTCTTTCTTCCAAAGTAATAAAAAAAAAGGGACCCAATAGGATTTCTTTCTTCCAAAGTAACAAAAAAAAAACATAATTATGGAACGCCCCTGATGACATGTCACATGACATCATGTTCCGGTTACCTTAATTAGACTCGGTTGATATATACTTCCATGAAAAGTTCCATATAATTCAAACTACCTGGTCCTTCATAGTGTTTATTTTATAAACTTTAATAATACTTTATCAAAAGGTCCTTCATAGTTGGAGTGGTTAGATGTACTAGCTTTGACAATTACAACTTTGACCTTTTGACAAGAAAATTATTTACATTGGTTGCCTTTTCATTGTACTTACTAACCAATCAAATGCTATTTTTTTTTTATTTACCATAAAATTGATTCAGATTGAAACATATGCTCCTTTTCTCATTGCCGTACACATATAAACTAAAAATACAACTTGTCTTTTAAATCAGTTTCAGACAAATTTTTTGACGTATTTTCAAGTATAAATTAATCTTCATACTAAATTGTGTAATGTATTTTTCTAATCTCGCAAATTACTAGCAATGTGATTCGCAAGGAAACGTGATTTTTTTGACCAAAAAATAAAGTTTCGTATCTTATGGTAGTTAGGGAAATTTTGTGACTTACAAGGAGAATTATTTTTGTTTTTTTAGTACAAACGATAGTCTAAACTACAAAATGAGTGATTTTTTACACGCAACTAACAGTTTAACTCTTGGGGTAAGTGTAAAGCTAAGTGCTTTATCACTCGAATGATTTCTTTTAAATAATTTATATAAATACTCACGTTTTACATTAATTATGAGGATTAGAATACTAGGTTAAGGTTGTTTTTCATATTGAATTGCATTCGTGGGCAAGTGGACATGTGAGCCTCCTCTCCCGAGTCTCGGAGTACGTATGGGCGGCCATGAAGAGAATGGCAGCAGTGATTATTATATGCTTCATGTGGTCAGAGAATCTTTCCATGAAAAGCAAGTTGCTTATCATGATATCCATTATGTCTGTTTCCTAATTCATTCTTCATGAAGACTTTTTTTGACCAGGTAATTACTTGTGTTCCTTTTTTCATTTTATTTTTCTCTTAAAATTTTCTTTTATATAATTATTTAGAATAATAAGCGATAGTAGTTATTGATGAGCAAACAAAAATACAGAGCAACTATCGTGCTTAATAATATGAGTAAACCGTTTCTAAGAACCAAACACAACAACATGTTGAATTTTATTTTATTTTTAAACTAAAGAATTGATTGGTTGTGTTTTGTATACCAAAAACGTTGAAGTCAGAGTCACGTTTGATTGATTGTGTTTTCTATATTAACAAACAGAATATAGCGTTTACTATAATTGGGAATAGACCTTGTGGAATTCATGCTCTCTTTTTTTTATTTTTTTTTATTTTTCAACATTAAATTATAGTACTAGTTTTTTCATCTCATCTACGCTTTAAGTCCACTTTTGGTGCCACTCTATGTCTGAACGCTGATGTGGTAGAAAATTTCAAGTCTCCCGGCCCCCAAAATTTACCACCCAAAGGAAAATCTTGCAATTTTAGTTATTTTTTCTTTTACTCCATTTATGTTTGAAAATATAAGTATGTTCTTCGGCTTTATAGGAATACAAATACATGCTCATACATCAAATAAGTGTAAGGCAGGGTCTCCAATCTGAGACCATGTTAAATTCAGCACGCGCATGAATATTAGCGAAAAACAATCCATTAACAAACATATTTTTTCATAAGTGTGTTGTGAATGTAATTCTTTTTATACAAGCGATATTAGGGATAGATGATCGAACACATAATTTCAGAAATAAAAATAAAATATTGTCAACTACTTGAACTAGAAGCTTCTTACTTTTATGAAATAAAAGGATTTTTCTGTCCGAAAAGATGAAATAAATTACGCTTTCGTACAAATATTTCAAAGCAACCCATTAGCTTCCAGCTTTGACCTACCAAGCTTTCAACAAGTCAATGCAAAATTTTCAAACTAATACAATAGTGTATTGCAAGAGATGTAGCAACATAAGATGTTTATATTGACGATTGTTATAAATAAATAAAGTCCATTGTTCCAAAGTGACGTTTAGAGCTGACATTCCACATCCTAGGCAGCGCTGAATCACTCTTGTCTCATGCATTTACAATAATTTGTTTTTATATTTCAGAATCGTCATATTAAGTGATGGGCCGATGGCTATTGATTTCCTTATTTTATTTTTCTTTTTGACTTCCCATGGATGTAGATCAAGAATGGGAGAGATGTGACAGTGACGACGGAATAAATTTAGGGACATTTTGGAAAAAGCAAAAGGAGAGAGAAAAATTTTAAAAGAAGCAAAAATGGACAAAAATGCCCTTATTTATTTTTAGATTTCCTAAGGAATCCAATACATTTGCGTGTCTTTGATTTGAAAGTTGAGTGGTTTTTTTGTCTTTTTTGAAAAAGCTTTGGCTTTTTCCAAACGTGAATTTTTTTTTTTTATGTCTAAAACCTAAAAAACCTATAAATTTACAGGAGGATACATAAAGTGAAGCGGAAAAGTCTCCATGACTTGAGTAAAACTTATTTGTGCAATTTCCAAATTTCTGTGATCTTCAATTAATGAGATAGCTGATTGGATAGATTTATATAAAATTTTAACGTGAAGAAAGTAAAACTGTTCGTAAGAGTTTGAGGAATTACAGTCTTCAAGGGCTTAAAGCCCAAAAGCTTTCGATTTTAAAGCTTATGTATGTTGATGCGGCAAAAACCTGAGTGAGGCTATAAGGAAGAATTATGATGAGAGGATGTTTGTTAACGGGGTCTAACCGAAGGAAAAATGGTCTTAACTTGTTGAATAGTGGTTTTAGGTTCAAATCCTTATAACACCTTTGTAGTGTGTGTGTGAGAAAACCTCCTTCACCAAATATCACTTATATAAAAGAAAAAATAATAATAAGAAAATCCTTAATAACAGTCCAAATAAACCCAAAGTCTAGAATTAAAAGACAATTAAAATCATGTAGGTAAAATTACAATTTGACACATGTAAAAATATTTTAAAATCATGTAGGTAGAATTGAAAGAGGCAAAGTATATATATATATATATTACCACTAGCAGTACTTGTGCATTATATATATCAAAATATGAAGAGTTCACGTGTGGTTGATAGTTTTCTTTTTCTACATAGTACAAACGAAACATGTTAATGATTTGGCACGAAGAATTCATGTTGCTTTTATTTTGATTCATATGTATTTATTTATTTTTTTCTTCTCCTTGATTTAAGTTCATGAACTTTTGGTACATGCCACAGTAAGTTCTTGACGATGTAGTAAAAATTGCAAGTTATGTCCTTCCCATCCCCCAAAATTTACCTCCCCAATCATCTTAATTGTAATTTTTTTTCTTACTTTTCCATTCGACTGTTACTCTCTCTCTCTCTCTCTCTCTTTTTTTCTCTCTCTTCTTCTTTCTCTTTCTTTTTTTTTTTTCTTATTTTTTTTTTTTTTTTTTGGGAAACAGAACCAGGGCGAGCCTTGGGAGTGGGCGGGAAGGGCCATGGCCATGGGCCTCCAAGTAAGGGGGCTTTAAAATTTTTTATATTATATATATTTATTGGCGTCCAACATTTAAAAAAAAATTCATAATGAAATTAAATGAGGTGACACGATTCCTCTTCCAAGTAGAAATCCCAACGCGCTTCATTTTTGCCCACATAGCAGCGCCTACTCCTAGTTTCTCCATAGAAGAACATACTATGTATTTTATCCACCGAGCTCTTAATCCACAACTATATTATTCTTTATTTTCACAATCTCTCTTCAATTCATCCATTATTTTCAATTTCTCTCATCCCTCTTTTCTCATATTATAATCCTAAGAATCGATCTCTCACTGAGTGATCCTGCCACATTTGCTACATATATAGCTTCCAAACTTGTATCTCATGTTTAAATACTTGAAACATATATCTCAATTACCTTCATATAAAAACCTGCAAATCAACCCTGTGGAATCCTATTTTGACTAATATGCCTTGAAGAAGTATAGAAAAGTTTCTCAAAGTCGAGTTAATTACTTACTGATTGAAAAACGAGCCTAAAAAATAATTTTAATTTCCATGTTTTAGCAATCTCAAAAAGATAACATAGAGAACTTCGATGAAATTTTTTTTAAAAAAAGGAGAAGACACAACCGAAGTGGTCCGTTTAGGTTAATTAGTCGAAATGAGGATGAACATTTTGCCCTTATGCTGCTCCCTGCTCAAGAACAAGATCAAGTGATGAGCCCTAAATTTCTTCCTTGTAAAATTAAAACACAACTCTAGCAGTAAGAAACATTTCCCAGCAAATACAAGCATTTTCATAACTCCTATTAATTTATTTTAACTTATTTATAGTAATTAACCCCATTATGCTCCATCTCAAGCTGCCAAGTGATTATCAACTCCATCCTTGCTTAGCTTTGGCTTGGGAGACCCATTATCCGATGAGAACGACGAAGAGGAGAGGTCAAGCGAGCGGCGCCGCTTAGGGCTCACCCGGACGGGCTCCACGTTACTCGAGCCAATCAAGTGAGGAAAATTCAGCCTGGCTTTACAGCCGCGCAGCTTAAACGCTGCTCGATCATAAGCCAGCCCCGCGTCCTCTGGCGTCTCGTAAGTCCCAAGCCATACTCTCGCGCCGTTCTTTGCCGGATCCCTTATCTCCGCAGCGAACTTCCCCCACGGCCTCCTTCTCACACCTCTATAATGCCTCTCCTCCCTAGGCGGGTGAACAGCACGCGCCGCCACTTTTTGTTCCTTCAATTCAATCTTGTCATCGGAAACAACACATCCGACGTAATTTACGTCATTCAAAGCTCCAAGCATGCCCTGCACGTCGTTCTCTATGTGTTCGGCTTTAAGAGACGACTCCCACCCATTCTCCGTCACGGAAAGCGGGAAAATCAGGGGGACATTAGTTCCGGTAAAACTCATTGCCTGAGGCTCCAAATCATCAAGAAGATGGTGGCGAATGGACTCAAGAAAAGCCAAGTCAGATTCTAGTTCTAGGGTTTTCTCTCCGTACATGTTTCTGCACTATAAACTAATACACACGTAATATTAAATTGAGTGGGTCGAAGTTTTGAGTTTCTTATGAAAGATTTAAATGGAGAGAGTTTATTCTGAGGGCATTTGGTTTATATAAGCTTAATATGATATAGGATGCAGCTTCAATGAAGCTTCAAGTTTCATGGCAGTGCGTGCAATAATTAAGGGAACCCTGTGCCTTTTTAGTCACGTGCTGAAATTATCAGATACTTAATTAGCACTATATTTAGTTTATAATTAACTAAATTAATCGAATTATCAGCAATTTAGAGTTTGAGAGCGTGGTATGTTGGAATCCAGGTGACGTTTGCAGCCTAATAGGGTTAAGGCTCCACATCACCAGCAACGGCTCATTGCTTGTCTTATTATAGGTTCTTGTTACACCCATGGGCATGGATCATTATTATCATGTATTTATTTTTAAATATAAAATCTTGTTGTAGTTGAGATTAGGATGGGTTATCGATTTTCTTACTTTCTCTTGGATTTAGGTTTCTTTTTTCTTTTTTCTTGTTGTATACTGAAAAGCAAAAATAAAGGTAGGGCAGTGATTGTGTGAGGATTTGAAGAAATATTCCTCGTTGAAAGTTAAGAAACCTTGTAAGAGTTTATAAGGAATGAATCATTCTTTTCATTGACCATAACTTATAAGAAGTTGGCACACTCCTGAATGAGATTAAAAACATGATTTGCCTTCTTTTGAAAAATGGGTGAGAATTCTTGCATGTTCTGACGTGCATTACTTAGACTTTTTATTTGAGTTTGTATTACGGATTCAAAGATGCCAATAAGTTTGCGTTAATGTAGAAAGAGGGATTCAAAATAGCTATTATTATTTCTAAATAAAATAAGGTTTGCCCTATGAAACACGTGGTTTCTGGTTAAAGCCATTTCAAATGCACAGAAAACAAGATGCCCACTTGTTTCAACTTTCCATTTTCAAAGTCCACAACTGGGACATTTTACTTTTGTTTTATTCATTTCAGGGTTTCATAATTGTTATTATATTATAAAGGGACATTTTGGAAAAAGCAAAAGGAGAGAGAAAAATTTTAAAAGAAGCAAAAATGGACAAAAATGTCCTTATTTATTTTTAGATTTTCTAAGGAATCTAATACATTTGCATGTCTTTAATTTGAAAGTTGAGTGATTTTTTTGTCTTTTTCGAAAAAGCTTTGGCTTTTTCCAAAAGTGAAAAAAATGCATGTGCAACGTTAAAAGAAACAACGTTTTATTTATTTATTTTAGGGTTTAATATTTAGAGCATATGACACACATGCTGTATTTTTATTATTCCTTCTTCAAATACTTAATTCTTTATTCTCCCTCATCTACGTGTTAGAAGAATTACGTCAGCCGATACACGACAATGTACGGGAGGACTTGACTTATATAATTCAGTGGTTGAGTAAAACGTTTTCAAAGCTTCGAGTTAAACTACTCTTTCCTTTCCCATGGTGTAAGCTATGCTGATTTATGGCATGCATGGTTAATAAGTTTATGTTAAACTTATTTAATTATTGTACACAACTTAGTTAGCTGAGTTTAATATACTTTAAACTAATATAAACTACGGGGGTGAAAGATTTAAAATCGGATGCAAAGTGGAGAGCACATCCGCTCTAACCAACTTGATTAAGCCCATACCTGCTCTCAACTTTGACTTCTAGTCCTGTAAAAAATTGGGTGAAGATTCTGGATTAGGAAAGGTACAAATGTTATTAAAACCACATGATCAAAAGAACTAATCAAATATTATCAAGATCCTCAGTGTTGACCAGTCAACCGAAATTAGTTGACTACCAAAGTCTTCTTATCTGCTGGCTCTTAAGACTACTTAAATGTGCATTTGATATTAATTAGCTGCAAAATTTCGTGTTAAAACAAGCAACTAAACATACGATAATTTTGGAGTATGCGTGCATGCTTTCTCCTGCATTCACCTTTTTCAGACAAAAAAAAAAAAGAAAAAAAAAAGAAAAGAAAATACAGTTCCGATGATCTAAGCCCTAAATGGTTTTCAAAGAACCCAATTAACATGAAAAAATTGTGATAAAATAAATACTTGATATTTGTTTAGTTATTTTCTTTTTGCTTACATTTGTATGAATTCAAGTGTTCCAAGTCAATCTTGTCTTTTCATGTGTCAATTCAACCCTATAGGGTCTGTATGATCATTATACCAATATATATAATTAACAATGATACCACATTTCTAACTTTTTATTTTCCAACGAGATTGACTATAAAGCAACTAACTATTTTTCTTTATTTGATTGAAGAAAGTCACAAGTTTGAATCATGTGAATAAGAGAACGATATATATTTGTGATGAGTTCGATATTTAGTTGTAGTCAGTGATGGACCCAAAGAGGCGCAATGAGATGCAGCTGCACATTTCCTGGTCAGAAAATGTTTTAGAGTTGCCAAATATTGCCCATTTGCTCTGGCTTGGAGGTGCCCACAACCTGTTTGAACAAATGACTGAGCAAGCGACCTTTCTTTCTCTTCTTTGCTAGGGTGCTCCATGCAGTGCATGCATGTGCATTCCTTTAAATTTTTTTTTTAGATCTTGGCCAAAACGATGTCGTTTTGAATGAGGTCTAAATAAAATAAAATAAAACTGAAGCAACTTTACCTTATACGCAGAGGAGTCTTGAAAGATGTCATGCCAAAGTTGAAATTAAGTGATGCATTCAAACTATAACTCTCGAAGAAGACTAATTTGATTTAAATTCCCATTAAAGAGAAGACTTGAAGAAGCCTGGCGTGGGCGTGGCCTTGAAAAGAATGAGGCTCTTGCTGCTTCAGACTTCAACTTTGAATGTATTTTTTTTTCGTATGGTTTTTTAACTTATGGTTTTTTTTTTTTTTTTTTTTAAATATGTCTTTTTTTAATAATTTTTTAATTTGGCTTTCTCTATATTAGTATGATCAGTAACATACTCGAGAAGGAAGAGGTTGCGCAATGCACAACTCACAAGGTATGATCAATTATAATTTTTCTGTTTAATTGATAATTTGATTTTCATTTTGATTAGATTAATTGAAGATTAAATATGAATTTTGATAATTATTGTATAAATTGACATGAATCTTGTTCATATTAATTGATATACAATATAGACTATAGTCAATTAGTTATAAACCTAAGGGTATTTGAATTTTTTTTTTTTTTTGTCTTACTTTTTAAATATTCCCCCTTCCCTAAAAAATTCATGAATCTGCCAATGGTTATAGCTAACCCACATGTGGTGATGTAACTTTGTTAGTGTATTGGCTCATGATAAAACTATCTTGGTAAATATTCTATGGCTTGTAAAAGTCAATTAAATCTTTGGAGACAAAATAGGCTACATGTGCTTTCATATCGCTGTGTAAACTCGAGTAGGTTCTCAATGTTTTATTATAATTGCTTTCCATCTATGTACCATATGACAATTTTGAATTTTCTGCAGCATGTTTCTGGATATACAAGCTAACTGTGTCTGGCGTTCAAATGTCATTTTCTATATCAAAATGAAACTAACATGAAAAATCAGGTTATAGAAACCAATTATATATAGTAATGAAGCTATTAGCTTAAGTAGCGACAGCATGTGTTGCATTTGATGATCATGTTAGTGGATAAAATTCCTTGATCTCGAACACGTCATCCGGTTGTTAAACCAAATTTAAGCATAAACACTTGAGAACATGAACCAATGAGACTGCTAATTATATCTCTCTATTTTGAACTAAAATGAAGCAAAGCAATGAAAGTACAGTGAAGATATAATTTCACAATTCTAACTTTGATAATACATGTGCATTTGATATTAATTAGCTGCAAAATTTCGTGTTAAAACAAGCAACTGAACATACGATAATTTTGGAGGCATGCATGCTTTCTCCTGCACTCACCTTTTTCAGACCAAAAAAAGAAAGAAAAGAAAATACAGTTCCGATTATCTAAGCCCTAAATGGTTTTCAAAGAACCCAATTAACATAAAAAAATTATGATAAAATAATACTTGATAATTGTTTAGTTATTTTCTTTTCGCTTACATTTGTATGAAGGGGAATGCTAGCAACTTTCTATCTAACATTCTCCTTTGAACCTTTTCCTTTTTTTTGCTTGACATGTGTCATTCTCCTTACACTTAAAACAATGTCATTAATATATTATACAAGTTAACTTTTGCTTTCCAAGTTTATCCTTATTAAATGTATTCAATTTATCCACACAAAAAAAATTTCACAACTTTCTTACCAACTTATTAAATTTTTTTCAAACTTCAATTATTTTTTTTAAAGAAAATGTCTACTTTTTTCAAAAAATATGAAATGTCCGTTTTTTTTTAAAACACAAAGGGAATTTTTTTTTTTTGGGTCTTACTTTTTAAATATTGCCCCTTCCCTAAAAAATTCATGAATCTGCCAGTAATTGTAGCTAACCCACATGTGGTGATGTAACTATGTTAGTGTATTGGCTCATGATAAAACTCTCCTGGTAAATATTCTATGGTTTGTAAAAGTCAATTAAATCTTTGAAGACAAAATAGGCTACATGTGCTTTCATAATGCTGTGTAAACTCGAGCAGGTTCTCAATGTTTTATATAATTTCTTTCCATCTATGTACCATATGATGATGACCAACGATCGAACAACAAGAAGGGATACCAGACGCATGACAATTTTGAATTTTCTCTGGCATGTTTCTGGATATATAGGCTAACTGTGTCTGCCGTTCAAATGTCATTTTCTATATCAAAATGAAACTAACATGAAAAATCAGGTTATAGAACCAACTATATATATAGTAGTGAAGCTATTAGCTTAAGTAGCGACATCATGTGTTGCATTTGATGATCATGTTAGTTAGTGGGTAAAACTCCTTGATCTCGAATAGGTCATCCCGCTGTTAAACAAAATTTAAGGATAAACACATGAGAAGCGATACTGTGTCATATTAATTTTGATTAATAACGTTGTTTTTGTTTTTAATATTATAAGAGAGGCGGAAGCAATGAACATGAACCAATGAGATTGCTAATTATATCTCT